TAGAATAAGTCTTTACCTGCAAGTATAATAATAACTTATTAATAAGTAAAATGTTATCATTCATATTTAAAAAAAAAGATTTAAATAATAATAATAAACAATAATAATGACACAATTTTGACAGACAAGATCATGGAAGCCTTAAACTTTTACTTCTAATGCTAAGGTAACTTATTGAAATCAAATTGATCAAATTGATCAAGTTTTACCAAAATATAAAGAAAAGTCAAAGTGATATATTGATATAAAAAAAAATAGATTTTCCATAAAATGGGTTTTGTGCGCAGTCACGCGATTTTTTTTCTATTCTAAATTCAATTAAAATAGCAAGTTTCACAATATAAAAAAGATCGATGATCGATTTTGTCACAAGTGATAAAACGAATCTCTCCCTACTGGCTATGGTATGATATAACCCATATTTTTCCATACCAAGTCACAAAATTTTATTCTAAATCCTTTTGTCTTCAAATTGCGTAATGATCTTCAAGCCAATAAAATCGAACTTCCACAGTAATTATTTTTTCTGGTTTGTTTACATGATTTGGATAGTTGTTAGCTGCATGTATATTTCCATATATACGTGTGTATATACGCTAGTGATAAATGTTCGTCATATATCAAAAGCAGCAAAACAACAGATTTATATTTATTATCACTTTAAATAATTTAAACTAATTATTATTTACAAATTATCATTATTTATTATTACTATTCATAAACTTTACTGGTAACTTTACACACTAATCAACACCACAACCTTTAATAAAAACATAGTTGCATCTTCGCGTTTGTAGACTGTGGTGGCTCATCTTTTTTGTTCACAAAAAAAAAGTCATCAATTCAATCCTATCATAATCAGATTAGTCGGATTAGTAAAAAACGTTACAAAAACTAATGAGACAATCTCTGGAAGGTGGTGTTCCAGTTAAATGATGTAGAATTTGGTTTTTTAGAATTCAAAATGTGTAATAGATTGCCTGAATATTATTCCATTTATAATCAAAGGTTGTGTACGGGATAAGGTAGGTTTTTTGCTGAAAGTGGCCAATTGGATTGCTTTTATTAATGATAATATTTCAATGAATTAATTATATCCTCTCTCTCTCTCTCTCTCGTATTATCTATTAGTTAGTAATTCACCAAGCAATCAAACTTGATATACCCATCAATGATCTGAAGGAGCCTGAAAAATCCTTAGCCGTTAGCAATGCAACGCCGTATTCAACATTTCTGGAAAGGTTGTGGGTGACTGAAGTTATTAAGATAGATGACGACAATGATCGCGCTAACATGTTCAAAATTTCACACCAACTATACAATGTTTTTTTCGAAAGAAGATGAGAATAAAAACACGGAGATCTCGGTAGCAGATTACACGAGAAAAATATTCCGTTTCATGTTTCTGGAGGATTGTGTATTGGTAAGGAGCTATTATTGAATGCGAAAGCGATTGAGTGGACATTCTTAAATCCAAGAAATTCATCATCATCCAACAAAAAAAATTAACAAGGACACAAAAGTCATCTCCTCCACTAAAAGATTAATATTTCACAATTCAACAACAACAATAACAACAAAACAACAAGAACAACTTCTTCACGAGTACCTCCAACATTACCCTCCTCCTTGTCAATTTTCTCTCCACAAACACGTTTAATATTATTTTCCTCGTTCTCTAATAATAACTTGACGTGTTCATAATAATAATAAGACGTAAGACGTGTGGCATAAATAATAACTTGACCGTGCGGCATCATCACAATAATAACAATAACTTGACGTGTGGGGCATCATAATCTTAATAATAAGACGTAAGACGTGTGGCATAAATAATAACTTGGCGTGTGATCACAATAATAATAATATAATAACTTGACGTGTCAGGGCATCATCATAATAATAATAAGACGTAAGACGATCAACATCAACAAAAGAAACGACAAATAGGAAATGTGGTGAAAGATATCGATCATAATGATTTTTACTAAGAGGATTGTTGGATGTCGTCATTACTAAAGATTTCAATTGAAAACATTAACATAAAAAAAAATAGAAGACGGAATGTAAATAGTTTATTTATTAATTTACATTCTTTTCTAAAATCTGTATATTTCATCTTGATAAATAAATAATTGTGCATGTTAATAATTACACTGTTTATGTTGTTACTACTGCTATCAGATGCACTCTGCTGGATTACAGAGTTTACCATAGGGTGCGATTTTGTTCTTGGTAAAAAAAATTATACATATATAATAAATTAATGATAATTTCATTATATCCAAATACTAGTGCGTAATAATCTCACTTCTTAAATCGAAATCTCTGGTCTTAGGAACTCGAAATGTTTAATCTTCAATTTGAAATTAAATCCTTGTCACAACGGGCACGGAAAATTTAAAATTCGTTATTATTATTACTAATGCTAATCTTGTTATAACGGATTTTATATCTGATATGTAAAACAAAAATTTAATTATAACAAAAGGTAATAGTAATTATATTTATGTACAATCAAATAAAAGAAACGTAAACTATATATTGTCTACTTTGTTATATTTATAGACATAATTTGATTATTTACATATATTTAAAATCTATATATCTCAGTCACGGGACATTTATAAAATTTGGAAAGTAAAATTCGAATTTACATAGTAATAGTAAAATTTTATAATCGAATGTCTTCACGCCCTCGTTTGATACCCTTGCTGTGTAGCAACCACCACCAAATTTGAGATATAATTTCTTTATCATATGTATCTGCTTTAAGAAAATTTTTAAGGCAGGTTGTTAATAAAACCGAAAATAATCTGACCCTCAAAGTCAAATTTTGCCTTTATATTCATATGCGTAAAATTTTGTTTGACGCGTCCAATTGCAAGTATAAGCAGAAATAAATGTCCAAATATTACATTATTATGAATATTTACAGATTTTTGATCACTTAGGTATGTCTTTTATAGTAAAATCATTTATTTTAAAAGTAAATATAATAAATAAATAGATTTTAAAATTTTTCTTTACCTATATACATAAATAATGATTAGAATAATAAACAAGCAACAATGATGATTAAATTAAAAGGTGTTTTATCTCTGACTTTTTTCATTTAATTATTTATCATAGTGATGTTATTAAATATAAGTTAAAATAAAAAAGAAATTTATATACATAAAATAAATAATAAACAAGCAACAATAATAATTAAATTAAATGTGTGTTTTATCTCTGATCATAGTGACGTTATTAAATATAAGTTAAAATAAAAGAGAAATTTATATATATAAACAAATAATAAACATAACCATTGAATGATTGATAAAACGTTCATTTTTGTGAAACTTGCTTTGCAATCTTCATAGATCTTGTCCTTAATGCTTACTTAGATCGCTCCTATACAAACTATTGAATAATTGATAAAACGTTTGTTAGTATATTTTGTTCATAGATCTTGTCCATAATGCTTACTTTGATTACTCCTACACAAACTATTGAATAATTGGTAAACATTCGTTAGTATGTTTCTTCATAAATCTTGTCCTTAATGCTTACTTCGATCACTTCTATATAAACTGGATCTTAATCTTTATTATCATCCTCAAAAAAGATGATTCGTTGTTGTCGTTTGCATATTATTGTTTAATGTTGCTATAACAACTACTGATTGGATATTCATAATCATTAATGAAACTTTAGTCAATATAAAACAATCACTAATAAATACCTTTTAGTTTTTGTTGAATTCCATCTACATAAAATTCTTCATGACTATTAAATTTCTATAAAGTAGTTTTTCGTGAACCTCTCTAAAACTTATTAACCAATACCCCCATAAAGTAATGACCATATGAAAGCTAAAGTATTCTACACCTTCTCATAATTGGTATCAGGTGGGAGTATTTTTTGTGGAGGCCATGGAGTTAGAATTTACATATTCAGTTATAGAATCGTCGTCTTCATCATCACCATTGTCGTTATCATCACCATCATCATCAAACAATAAAAAATGTTGACAAGAATCGAGCAGCACCAAAAAAACTTGAGGACGCATTCGTCGAATCAAGTGGTTTTTCAAATAAAATAAAAGATCCTTGGCGTCACCAGGAAATGAAAGAAAGAATATAAAATCTTTTGAAAAAGTTGTTGAAGAAATCCTTGGAAATGAGCAAGAATATGGTGTGAAGTGGGAACTTAGCAAAAGATAAGCGGAAGATATTTGGTACACATACACTTACAAAATATCTTAATTCCTTTCAGATCGATTGTATATTTACAATAATAATGTATTTGTAATGGTATACCATAACATTGTGTTATAATAAGGAAAAGTAACTCGACTAGCATTGAGATGATGCAAGACAAATGTTATCCTGTTTATTATATTGTAACGTTGGTTATACACATGTATTATGATAATGAGTGGCGAAAATACATTTCCTAATTAATTAATAATTTATGTGATGGGATCACATTGGAAAAAGGAACACGACTAACATCGAGACAAGACAATACAAAATGTTATTCTATTTGATTTATTGTAGCGTTTGTTATACACATGTTACTGAGTGATAAAAATACTTTCCTTAATTATTTAATAAAGTTTATACAATTCCCGCTCCAAAATGCCTTCTTATTGACTGTTCATATAACACAGGGTTGGACCTTACCTCATATATGCTGAAGACTAAGCTTGAGTAGAGCAAGCTCCTTGGAAAGCTTGAACATCCTGAGGTTTGATTTTTCTCAAAATGTTCAAAAAGTGCTTTGATCGAATACAAGAGATTGGAAATTAATCGTGATGGATTGAAAACATTAATGTAAAATTTTATTACTATATATAATAAATGTTTATTTAATAAAGTAGTTTTGATAATATGCATTCTCTGAATACAATCATATTTTCTGTAAAACTCAGAAAAAAAAATATGGACTTATGTATAAATTATTATGTGCAGTGATTATATATTAATAAAATTTTCCAATTTTTTTTTGTTTTTCAAAAGAACTGAAAATTAGATATGAATTTTTTTTAATTGCTTCAATAAATATTAACGATGTATATTAATAAATCTATATATAATATAATAATTAAATCATATTAATATATTTTAATATTTTTTATAAGCAATTTATCTAGTAACAAGATTCATAAAATGATTTTAATAACCTGATTAATCCGATAGAATTTCGATCTATTGGCATCAATGTCGTCCTGTTTGCGTGAGATGCGCATAAGTTTCTGTAATAATAATAAAAAGAAGATAATTAATAAAATATTTTTTAAAAATATTTTTTTAAAATTAATTTTTTAAAATTAATTTTTTTTATACATACGCATCTCTAAACAGATATCGTAGTTGTTTCTCAGACAACTGTTTTGAAAATATTATAATGATTAATACTTATTAGCATCAAAAAAATTTTTACTTTTTGCAATTTCTTTTATAAGGCTCCTTAATGGTGCCTTACTTGTTGCAAAATTGTTGTTACAACGACGAACACGAGAAGAAGAAGGAGAAGAAGTAGAACGATAAGGAGAACGATAAGAAGAAGGAGAAGAAGGAGAGCGATAAGGAGAACGATAAGGAGAAGAAGGAGAACGAGAACGAGAAGGAAAAGGAGAAGAAGTAGAGAACGAGAAGAAGAACGAGAAGAAGAAGAAGGAGAACGAGAAGTAGAATGAGAAGGAGAAGAAGAAAGAGAACGATAAGGAGAAGAAGGAGAACGAGAACGAGAAGGAAAAGGAGAAGAAGTAGAGAACGAGAAGGAGAACGAGAAGAAGAAGGAGAACGAGAAGTAGAATCAGAAGGAGAACGAGAAGAAGAAGAAGAAAGAGAACGAGAAGGAGGAGAAGGAGAAGGAGAAGGAGAAGGAGAAGGAGAAGGAGAAGGAGAACGAAAAGGAAAAGGAGAACGAGAAGAAATGAAATGTTGATCACAAGAATTTCCATTTGAAGGAATTTATAAAATATCATGATTTAATAAATCCTCATTCACCAATATCCGTAACCATTATTAGCATTATTGATATAATTAATGTCTTCTAGTGGTGATGGTAATAATTGCGGATCGATTAACATAGTAGTGTTGCTATTGGTAGAGGCAGAAAAAATCGTATTCAAAGAAGATCACATCCTTTTCTTTTTCCTCTACTTTTATATTTTCGATTTTCTCTTGCCAATTAGGAAAAGGATTTCTTTAGTTAAGTCTTCAGGATTTTCAAAAGATAGTCGATGAAAACGTGGTTCAAACGACGATATTAATGGTTCGTTTTGGTCCTCGTTTTCCTGTGAGTTCAAAATGGGTTAATATCAAAAACTCTAGGTCAATTAAAAACAAAACAGCCATTTTGACACATTCAAACAAATATATTATTTACTTTGTTGTTCTCGTTTTTTCTTCTAAGAAACAAACAATAATTAATGTAAATAACCATGTTAATTTATATAACTAGAATGACAACACACTATAACAACTATTCTTTTAAGAATAAATAATATTTACCTTTAAAAAAAATGAAAGTTTTAACGAGTAGTAAGTTTGTTAAATGGTGGGTGTGAAAAGAAAATAATTATATATTATCAAGAGTTTGAGTTGGCCTTGGAGTTTTTGTTGGTTTATTTTAGGGATAATGGATTTTTTTCATCTTTGATTAATAATATATATTAGATCGATCGACAAATCACCTGTGATTAGCTTATTTTATTTTGTGTAAATGACGATCATTACTAAATAAAATTTTTGCAATTTTTATTTTACCATTAACAATATTTAATGTTAAGAAAAATGAATAATAAATAAAATTAACTATATAATAATAATAATTAATATAATACAAATAAAAAAAAAATGACATTCATTATTTAGCTCCTAAAATTTTAAATGATAATAAATGATTATTTAAAATTGAATCTATATTAGAGTTTAAAGAAATATTTTCATCATCATTTATTTCAATTATGTTATCTTCTCCTTCATCATTTCTTCTAAGTCCAAATCATCAAAAGA